ACCTGCAGAGTTGTGAACTGACATGATGTGGTCAGGTGGGGAGCAGTTAACATGGCACACACGGTACAGGGCGCTTCATAAAGTTCATGGAAGAACGGGACTAAAAGGTTTATTTTGATGCAAGAGAAGTTGGGAAGTCCATGCGTGTAAGGGGTCTGAAGAAGTTCAAGCAAAATGCATATTAAGAAAACACCTACGCACAGCATCTTCCATGGGGCTCAGGTCCTAAGTCAGCATAGCCTTGTTGATGCTAAAATTGCCCTTGAAAAGTCCTGCAGGTACCAGTGCGTTCTACATGCTGTGTCCACGTGTCCAGCCTTTCCTCTGCCAGGACCCAGTGGCCAGCCCCTCTGTTGAGTACCAGATAGACTGGTTGTTCCTCAAGTTGAGACCATGTAACAGGAAGGTCTGCCTACAAACCTTCCACGAATACCTTCCACGAACATTGAAGGAAAAACCAACTCAGCTTCTCCTCAGCTCAGTGCTGTGACCGGGGGTTGCAGGAAGTGTGCCGGCAGTCAGCTCGGACATTGTCTGCCTGGAAGTAGCCTCAGTCCCCCAGGCCAAGGGCTCAGTCTGCTCTGACAGAGGTTGCAATTGTAGAGGTGCTTATGGCGAGGGGACGTGGAGCTACTGTGCCCTTCTGTGTCACCTCCTGAAACCCAGTCTATGTTTTTTTGTGGGAGCTTCATTACGCAGACACAACTGATTGAATCAGCTTGGCCCCAGTGCCCCTCTAGGGGGTCGGGGTGAAAGTCTTAACCTTCTGTGACCAGCCTCTTCCTGATGCACCTGCATGTGGCCAGCTGTCAGACTGCTCATTAACGTATAAAAGAAGACGCATGTCAGGGAGGACATTCAGCTCCTGGGCGCTGACATCCCACATCAGAGTACCTAGGTTTGAGTGGTCTGAGTCCCAGCACTGTCTGATTCCAGCCTTGTGCTAATGGGCACCCTGGGAGGCAGCAGATGGCTCAAGTACAAGCTGCCTACATGGGAGACCCGGATTGGGTTCCTGGTTCCTGGCTTCAGCCTGGCTAGGTTGAAGTCCTTTGAGGAATGAGCCAGAGCATGAGAGATCTGTGTCTGTCTTAGTCTGTCTACCTTTCAAATAAATGAAATTCTTTTTTTTTTTTTTTTCTCTTCTTTTTTTTTCGACAGGCAGAGTGGACAGTGAGAGAGACAGAGAGAGAAAGGTCTTCCTTTGCCGCTGGTTCACCCTCCAATGGCCGCCGCTGCAGCCGGCGCACCGCGCTGATCCTGGCAGGAGCCAGGAGCCAGGTGCCTTTCCTGGTCTCCCATGGGGTGCAGGGCCCAAGCACCTGGGCCATCCTCCACTGCACTCCCTGGCCATAGCAGAGAGCTGGCCTGGAAGAGGGGCAACCGGGACAGAATCCGGCGCCCCAACCGGGACTAGAACCCGGTGTGCCGGCGCCGCAAAGTGGAGGATTAGCCTATTGAGCCACGGCGCCGGCTCTGAAATTTCTTAAAAGGCATTTATCACTTTGGAGATTCCAAGAATGTTAGAAATTAGCTGTGTGCCAGGAAAGCAGACCAACCAAATAGATACTTCACAGTATCATGGCTTCTATCCAGCAAGATGCTCACACTATGAGCAAACAAAAACAGATTTTCATCTGCCCTGGTGCCCAGCCAGGGTAGGACAGAGCAGGCAGAGGTCACCTACACTGTTTAAACTCTGCCATCCAGTTTTTTGTTCTGCCAAGTGCATGTGCTTGCATTTGCTGAGTTAAGCATCACGATAGAGCTGCTCCATCATATCTCTGTATTCTTCCCCCTAAGAGATGCCAGTGACTGCACTCGTGTTCTGATCTGGGGCCTACAGGTGCCATGCTCTGAGCAGTGGAGGAGACCACCAGAGGCATCCTCTGGAAAGGGGAAACGGGCCATCTCCCCCAGTCCTTTGCCCCCTCTTCACTGTAGCAGGTGGCTGGTGGCCTGGTGGATGTGTGGTCTGTCAGTGCAGCCAATGAGAAGTCTGTGTTCTGCCCTCTGTGAAGAGCTTCTGGGGTACCTTTCTCACACAGCTTGTCTGTTCCCAGGGTGGTTGTTGGGCCTAGTGGTGAACTCCCTGCGAGGCTGAGACCACAAAGGCCTTTGCTTTCTAGACTTGACGGTGCTGTGGCAGTAAAGGTACCTTTGAGATGTAGTTGATTGTCTGTCCAGTGTTTAGACTTGATCACCTTAACATCCGGTGCTTAGCATCCAGAGTCACATGTGGACACTTGATCCTCGGTACTTAAATCTCCATCTGTTAGCAACAGAACTCGGTCCAGCGTCAGCACCCATAAACCTTTGCCTAGAAGTAGCTAAGAGCAGCATCCAGACTGCTGCCCTACAGGTAATTCCTGACTCAGAGTCCATCCCCAGCTGGCCAGGAGTTCTGGGTCTCAAACTCTTTTCCAGCATCACCTTCTGTTCACTTTAGGTTGTGCAGAGAGTGCGAGGGGTCTTCAGACAGTTCGCGGGAAACGCATGTTATGATAAGACCATGCAAGGATTTCAAAACTGTTGGTACCAAAATAAACTTCATCTTTTAATCCCATTTTTCCATGAATATTGGAACTGCCTGTGCACAGTTCTACATCCTAGGTTGCTTTGCACAAACAGAACACAGACCTTTGTAGCAAAGCTATTGGCTTCTAGGTGGACCAGCCTCAAATGAAGCTTGTCTCAGTAGTAGCTCCCTGGCGGCCCCAAGAAGTGACTGAGGCACTTGTCAGCAGGTCTGCCAGCCTCCTGTTGTACCACAGCCCACCTCTGCTCAGCTGCTCTGTGTCACAGTGCAAGCCATGGATTAAAAATGTAAGGAAAAAGAAACAGGGAGCATGCATTTAGCTAACAGGTAGGTTACTGACATCTGGATACCTGGTGAGATTCCCAGTTACAGCTCCAGACTCTGGCTTTCTGCTAATGCAGACCCTGGGAGGCAATGGGAGGGCTTCAAGTAATTGCTTTCCTGGCACTCACGTGGGGGACCCGGATTGACCCTGGGGACCCCATCCCTGCCCCCAGCCATTGAGGGCATTTGAGAAGTGAACCAGTGGATAGGAGCATTCTCTTGCTCCCTCTGCCTCTCAAATAAGTTTTTGAAAAGTAATAGGTAGGGGGGCCAGCGCTGTGGTGCAGTGGGTTAACGCCCTGGCCTGGGGTGTCGGCATCCCATATGAGCCCCGGTTCAAACCCAGCTGCTCCACTTCCTATCTAGCTCTCTGCTATGGCCTAAGAAAGCAGTAGAGGATGGCCCAAGTCCTTGGGCCCATGCACCCACGTGGGAGACCCGGAAGAAGCTCCTGGCTCCTGGCTCCGGATTAGCACTGCTCTGGCCATTGTAGCCAATTGAGGAATCAACCAGCGGATGAAAGACCTCTCTCTCTCTGCCTCTCCTTTCTCTATGTAACTCTGACTTTCAAATAAATAAATAAAATATTAAAAAAAAGTAATAGGTGGGGTATCATTGTAATACTATTTTACTTAATTATTCATATTTTATAAAGCCTAAATACTATTTTTAACATAGCATTCAAAATCGTTGAGACAGCTTACCCATTTTGGGTACCACATCCTTGAAATCCAGTGTGTAGTTCACACATATAGCACATGTCCATTCATATGAGCTAGTGACCAGTGACTGCTGAAGTAGACAGTATGGGTTTAGTTGCCAACTTTCAGAGTGGCTGATGTCTGTCATCCTCTGATAAGTTATGACATGTGTTTCCGCATCACGGGGGAGGTGTCTGAGATGGCAGATCTCATTAGAACAGTCTGCCCCCAAATGAGCCTAAATACACAGTGCCATGCTGAGCATCTGGTTGGAACCACTACTGTCTAAACACTCATCATATCCACGTGTTATACTCAACAAGTCTGTCTCCAGTGTGAGAGTCCAAGCCCATGGATGGTAGGGACCCTTGCCCATCTTCTGACTTCTGTTCCCTAAGAGCGGTGTTCTGTGCATGGAAGACATTACATGGATATGTTTAATGTGAAATGAGATTCCACTAAACGCTTTGGTGAGGACTTCTCCTTCACCAAGTTTGATGACACAGGTGAGCGTTGTGACGCAGTGAGTTAGGCTGCCGCTGGGGACATCTGCATCCCTTGTTGGAGCTCCAGTTCAAGTCCCGGCTACTCTGCTTCCAATACAGCTTCCTACAAATACACCTGGGAAGGCAGTGGATGATGGCCCAAGTGCATATATCCCTGCCACCTTTGTGGGCGACCAGGATAGAGTTCCTGGCTTGCGCATGGCCCAGCCCTGGCTGTTGTGGGCATTTGGAGAGTGAACCAGCATATGGAAGGTTTCTCTCTGTGTGTTTATCTCTCTTTCAGAGTACATAAGTCTTTAAAAAAAAAAAAAAAAGGTTTGACAGAATGGCATCACTGGTTGAAGCCAAAGATTGTATGTTTGCAACGTTTGTTGTTCTGATAGAAGATCATTAGTGGTCCACAGCTAGTTGTTGCTACTTAATGCCTCTTTCTTTTGTTGACTTTGAGAGAGATTGAATACCTACAGAATTTCAGCCCTGTACCAAGTGCTGGGTGTACAAAAGATAAATGGGCAACAGTCCCCATTTGCAGCAGATAGGTATAAAATAACTCCTGCAATAATACCCAGCAGGTGTATGACTCCCCCACATGGAAGGGGGTCCAGCCCAGGGCAGAACTGATGGACAGGAAGGTTTGCCGGGGAGAATGGGTTAAAGTTCCCCATTGCCTGTGATTTGTCTTGGCACCTAGCCTCGTGCCCAGCTCCTACATAGAATACAGGGTGGCTGGACTTCTCTGTGCGTGTGACAGCACAGCCAACAGAGCCAGCCTGTGGGCTGGGGGCGTGTGAGGGTGATGAGAAGTCAAACGGGGTGGAGCAGAGCACAGGCTCGAGCCCGTGGCTTTTAGCAGGACACAGCTCAGCAGCCTCGTTTCCCAGTGCCTGTCCGTGTGGGCAGTGACAAACCCCATGCCCTCTGTTGTTACAGGCCAAGCGAAGGCTGGAGCTCGGAGAAAGTGGGCATCAGTACCTCTCCGATGGTTTAAAAACCCCCAAGGGCAAAGGAAGAGCTGCACTACGAAGTCCAGATAGCCCAAAAAGTAAGGATTCTTCCTCCTCTTTCCTTACTCCTGGGTGTGGGGTTCCTGACTCTCAAAGCTTGTGGCTGGAAGTGTGAATAATTTTGGCATGTCTGTTTCGTTTTCATTTCTTGCTGTGCCTGTCCGAAAGCTAAAGTCTGCAGACAGTCGGCAAAAGGCCACATAGACTCACCCCGCACCTGAATACAGACCTAGAGAACCTGCTTGAAGTGAGCGAGGTTTTGTTTTTTCATCTCAGAATACGAGCCTTGGGCATCACTCTCTAATCAGATTTAATTTGAACTTCCCTTAGTGGACAGGACTGCAGGGCCTGAGGCTAACTTGTATAGACAGGCTATGCCAGAGTCACTAATGTCAGGGCCACCCCCACTCTCCAGCCCAGCACATGCTGGCGGAAGAACGAATAGAGCCCTTGCCATCGAATGCTGCTGTCGTTTCTATTAGGAGAGAGGGAAAAGTTGGTTAGAAATAGCCAAGTGGCCCCTTTGTGGATTTGCATTGAATGCAAAGGCTGCAGGACACTCTGATCTCCCCTCCCCACAGTCTATGCATCAGACAGTCCATTCGTTACGCTCAGTTGAAAGCTTGACCCGTGCACCTGTAAGACAGAGCAAGTGCAGCCTTCGTTAAGGAAGCTTCCCTTAGAACATGGAGAGGATTGCTGGAAAGCTTTTCCAGGCATTCTTCATCAAAAGGCAGTTGTCCTTGACAAACGTGTGAGCTGCTCGAGGAGGCCCAGGACGCTGCAGGAGGAACTATGCAGAGGTGCAAAGGAAGGTGCCTTCGGCCGACCCTGGAGTTTTGGTGGCTCCTTCCTGCTCTGGTGGAGCGAGTGCTCATGGCTTTCTCCAGCTTGGTGAAAAGCGACGGCGGCGGCAGCTTTGCTTCCGATACTAATGCTCGGGCTGCGGGGGCAGAGGGGCTGGCTGCACTGCAAAGCAACCCTTCATTTCTTTACCTTCCCCCTGTCCCCCACCCGCTCGGTTTTTGTTTTTCTTTAAGCTCCAAAATCTCCCTCAGAAAAAACGCGGTATGACACGTCCCTTGGTCTGCTCACCAAGAAGTTCATTCAGCTGCTGAGCCAGTCGCCCGACGGGGTCTTGGACTTGAACAAGGCGGCCGAGGTGCTCAAGGTGCAGAAGAGAAGGATCTACGACATCACCAACGTCCTGGAAGGCATCCACCTCATCAAGAAAAAGTCCAAAAACAACGTGCAATGGATGTGAGTAGAGCCTGCGCCCTGGCCTGGGTCCTGACCACCTCGGTTTCTCCCCGTGCCACCTGTCACGTTCTCGCCTGCACGCCATTTCTTGCCCTGTCTCTCTCTCTCTCTCTCTGCTCTTTCTGTTCGCACTCCTCCCTCTTGCCGGATGTTCCATGTTGTTTCACAAAGAGACTTCCTGTTTATATGCTGTCGGAGAGAAGGGGATTTATAGGTGATGAGCATTAAGCAAGGGGATGTGTGGATTAAACCGGCCCCCAGGGCTGCGAACTAGAGGGCTGTTCATCTGTTCCATTGATGTTCTGAGTGGGCTCACCTGGCGATATGACAGATGCTCATGTCTGTGTCCTTGGCTTGTCTCTAATAGGAATTTAGAAAAATTAACTGCATGAGTCCAGGCATAATCACATAGCAACTTTGTGCACGATTCTGATAGCAGATTAACTGCTTTCTATGTCAATTAAGGCAAGACTTAAATGCCTCGTTTTCTGTACTGCAGGGGTGATGACATTCGTTACCTGTGTTCCCACCAGCGTGATTAAATGTCTCATAATGTCATTTGTGAATGACGAACCTGAAGCGCTGGTATTTGATGAGGGCAGTATTGAAGCAGGTTGGAAAGAATGGCTCTGGTAGGGGGTGGCTTTGAAATAATACTGATTCTTACATGATAAGATGGGTGGGTAGCCTTTTTTGTGCCTTTTGGAATTTGGTGACAGTTCAGACACCCGCTGTGGGATATGGTTTAGAAAAACCTGTAGGGTATTGGTCTTTGTTCTTGCATTTGTCACATGCATCTGTTTGCTTTGCTTCCTCTTCTTTGCAGTTGTTGGTATACAACCCTCAGACATCACCGCGTCTCATGTTTTTTGGATGCTGTTGTTTGCATTTTGAGCCATTCCATCTTCTCTATCTCTGTCTTTTCGTCACCCCCCTACCCCCACCCCAGGAGGCACGTGGTAGGGTGTGGTGGGGGGTGGCTGCCTTCTTTTGCCCTGTGACTTTGAGCCTTCTGAACACTCAAATAGTCCTCCATGGCTGGAAGGAACCTTGAAAAGAGCAGTACTTTTTCACCTGTTTCCTATGGTGTGAAAAGTACAGGACTGTGTTTATCGCGGGATAAATATCTAATTTTAACACTGGGCTAACAAGCAGTGTGACCTCTTGTGTCACAAGAGAGGACATTGACCTAGAGGACCACCCTCCCTCCCCAGCCCTCCCACGAGTAGACGCGTCTGTGTTTGGGTTTCCAGGGGCTGCAGTCTGTCTGAGGACGGGGGCATGCTGGCCCAGTGCCAAGGCCTGTCCAAAGAAGTGACCGAGCTCAGTCAGGAAGAGAAGAAATTAGATGAACTGATCCAAAGCTGCACCTTGGACCTCAAACTGTTAACCGAGGATTCAGAGAATCAAAGATATCCTTTGTGCCGCCAGTTCACTGGGGGTTGGTGCCTTGTAGACCATCTCCGGAGTTGACAGCCTGGTTGATCCACGAGCTAGATGTTTATGCTGGTTTTCCTGCAATGGCGCACACATGTGTGTGTGTGTGTGTGTGTGTGTGTGTAAACCCACATAGCTTTCCCATTTAGCTTTGCCTGAGTATTTGTGGTAAGACAATGAATGGTGTGGATCCTGTCATCATCTGTTTTGATGGCCAGGTGAGGAACTGTTGTAAAGACGTTTTATTTGTGTGTGATTCCGACATCCAGATAAGCCACAGTGTGAGGCCACTATTCCAAGACAGGGAAGGTGTCAGTGTTAATATTAATGACAACACTAAGCAGATTCCTCTTTGGCTTCCCAGATTTTGGGTGGGTGTTAGCTGTCACTGTTGGGGTTCTCACATTCTATTTTCATCAGACATTGTAGCAATTGGAACTGGTTAAATATATCTGATTGGGCTATCATTGAAGTGTTTGAACAAGTATAGAAAAACTATGCTATTCAAGTATGTTATGCTGATTCCCAAAACTCCAAAGCCTGATTTCAGAGGCACCCCAAGACCTGAGAAGCCTCAACTCATCCATTCATCTACGAGCATTAGACCTCAGGAATAAAACACAGGGAAATCAACCCTTATTCTCAGCTTGCTGATAGCCTGTTGGCCCTCTCAAGAGAAGTTTCTCATCTCACTGCAGACAAAACTAGAGGACAGTTGTGTCATTATGTCAGCAAGAAGATTGGCCAATATCCTCAGTTACCAGCAGAAGACACAAACATTTCAAGTTGTCCCCTCTCTAATTTCCGCTCTAAACTTGTGATGATTGCACACTTACCTTGGTGGAGAAAATAGAATGCATCCTCCCCAGACTCGTCTCCTGCTTCATCTCTAGCCAACCCTCCCCTGAAGAGTACAGGGACATTCATCTCCCACTGCAGGTAGTTTTTTAAACCTGCAACTGTTCATTTCCTGTTGACCAAAGGTTTGACCTTGTCAGCTGGTAATTAGTGGGATGAGAAGAGGTGTGATGACTTGGCTCCCTGGTGGCCACCAGAGTGGGTTTTCAGGGGGAAGAAACCAACCTGTCAGCCGTGTTCATTCATTGTTGAGTTGGGAACCCCATTGTGGAGGAGATGTGTGCTTGCTTACACACGATTGGCAACTCCCCAAACATGGGCTCACGGCGCTGTCACCTATATTAGCTTGCTCGGAGGCCTTTGTTGCAGAAAATGAAATGTACTTTGCAGGGGACTGCTAACCCAAGAAGCAAATTCGGGAGGGAGCCACCAAAGAAGCACTTTTAAGTTTGCTAAATTAGAAAATATGTTTGCACCATTTCTTTCAATTTCCCATTCAGTTCCCAATTGGGTACAGCTTGTTCACAAATGTGTTGAAATTTCCCTTCCTGCAGCATGTTGAGTAATTGTACATGAGTTTTTATTTTAATATGTCCTTGTCACATAGCTTTATGACAATGGGCTATCGCATAAATACCTGGTTATCAGTCTTCCAAAGTGTTCTCAGTAAAACTTCTGTCCAGTCTTCCATAAAAGCACCAGCTGGCTTCTTTGATGGGGGGAGTGGTGACCCACACCACAGAATCCTGCAAGAGTAATTGCTGTCAAGGCCAACACTGTTCTCTGAACTTTTGCGATTTGAAGAACATGGTCTGTGATGGATACCCCCTAGGTGTACATGCAGATTTTTTTGTGGATGTGTTTCCCACCCCCCCACCCCCAGGGAACAAACAGATTCATAGCTTCTGTCAGTCTCTGGTAAGAAGCCACTGTTCTCAGGGACATCTTGCCTCTAGGTTCTCCAAGCCTTTTTTCTGTATTAAACTTGTTAGACCACAGATATTACTAGCTATTTTCTATTACCTGAAGAAATGCCTTCATTGATTTATTTTTATGAAAGTCAGAGGAGAGAGAGAGAGAGATCTTTCATTTGCTGATTTATTCCTTCTAATGGCTGCATTGGTCAGGTCAAAGCAAGGAGCCTGGAATTCCATCTAGGTCTCCCATGCTGTAGCAGGAGCCCAAGCACTTGGGCCATTTGCTGCTGCTTTCCCAGGCACTTTAGCAGGGAGTTGTATTGGAAGCAGAGCATCCAAGACTTGAACTGTCACTCCCATACGGGATGCCAGTGTGTCCCAAGCAGTGACTTAACCCGCTGTGCCACAATGCCTGCTCCTCTTCCAATTGTTTTTTATTTGGGGGAGGGGAGTCTAATGTATGTTTTAGCCTTATTGCCTTTTAGTATTATCAAGTGTTTTTTTAATTTTTTTTACTTTTTTTAGTTTTTAACAGATTCAATCTAGTTCATAGATACAATTCTAAGAATATAATGATATTCCCTCTCTTACCCTCCTTCATTTATTTTTCATTTTCTGTTTTATCCCCCACATTTTTGTGCCTTCATATTTTTAAAAACAACTGACTAAAGACTTTGTACATTAATTCTTGTTACTCCATGTTCCTTATATAAGAAAATTTTGTGACCAGTTTTCTCTTGGTACCAGCTAAGAGTTTTGTCTCCCTAGGCAAACTCACATGAATACCTTTGTCACAGAATGAATACCATATTCTTTCATGATTATCTTTTTAGGTGTGGCTGCCAGGCCACTTAATTGTTCTGTGCTCAAAATAACTACCAGATGTACTGAAATATTATTCCACTCTCTGTTCCTAACTCAGTGTTTCTCAGATTCATTCAGGTTACAGAACACCTGGACACTGCTTTCTTCCCTGTGAACACTGAAATGCTGGTTGAGTTACTAATATTGCACAGAGTTTAATTTTGCTAACAGAAGTCATGACACTCTTATCTGTAGGCAATATGTAATCAAAACCAGCCCAGGTGCACTTAAGACTGCAAGCTGCCTGCCTGAGCTGCGTTCTGAGTTCTTCCACTAATATATTTGCTATTTATTCATTCATCTGGTGGCTGCTAACACTTGCTAATAACAGATAAAAGTAACTGAAGGCTTAGAAAAATTATGATTAGTAGAGCTTAAGTTTTTTTTTTTCTAAATCGGAATCTGCCATCATTCAATTTGAGTGACAGAATACATCATTAAGAGACCATTCCATACCCGTGTTGCAAAGGCACCTGCTTCCAAGTTCCCTGGCCCGAATGGATTTCGCTTTGCATCTGATAGTTTATCATAACTCTAGTGTACTGGTGTTTATTTTAATGTTGCAAATAGCCATAAATTCCATAGCAATGTACAGAACAAAGAGGTGCCTTCCGTTGGTTGTTTAGAACATCACTCAGAAAAGAGGCTCCTTGGGGAACCCTCGTATATTGGGAGATCCAGAAGGGAGGACATACAGAAGCCGCGACATACCTCAAGTGTTTCCTCTGCCTCTCTCTTGCTGTTTTCCTGATGGGCACATCTGAGGCAATCAGGTGGAAGATTTCCTTAACGCGCAACACGTTAGCTTACGTTACATATCAAGATATTCGAAAAATTAGTGGCCTTAAAGACCAAACTGTTATAGTCGTGAAAGCCCCTCCAGAAACAAGACTTGAAGTGCCTGACTCCATAGAGGTAAGGACACAGCACCATCGTGCCTCTGAGAGCGCTCTCTGGAATGCCTCACGTTGGGAAATAATAATCGACTCTGGTTAATTTCATAGCCCTTCCGCATTTGTTTTACTTATCCCCAAAGGTAAAAACATTTCAACAGTTTGATGCCTTCTGAGTGTGCAAGAAGTCCGGTTTTAGCCTAGCAGGGTGTTCAGCTCTAGGTGGGAGGATACCCTCTCTTGTATTTTCTTTTTCCTAAGTGCTTCTTACACATTTGGACCCCTTCAGGAAATTTTATGTTGATGACCTGTGTCTGTGGTCCCCAGCAGGACTGGAGGTACAAAGGCATCTCCCAAGTTACCTTGACACATTTTAGAAATTCTTTTTTTATTAGTGCTAATGTTTACTTAAATCAGACTTTGGTTTCATGGATAGACTAGGATATCGTAAGAAAATAAGAAGATTGTTTTTGTGATTGCTTTAAGATATTGTTTGATTATATAGATCTAGTAGACTGTGACTTTTAAGAGAAACAACTATAGTAAAAGAAAATGGTGAAGACTTGCTTTTATTTTTTTTAAGATTTTATTTATTTATTTGAGAGGTAGAGTTACAGAGAGTGAGAGGGAGAGACAGAGAATGGTCTTCCTTCCGTTGGTTCACTCCCCAAAGGCCACAACAGCTGGAGCTGGGCCTATCAGGAGCCAGGAGCTTCTTCCTGGTCTCCCATGTGGGTGCAGGGGCCCAAGCACCTGGGTCATCTTCCACTGCTTTCCCAGGTGCATTAGCAGGGAGCTGGATCAGAAGTGGAGCAGCTGGGACTAGAACCAGTGTCCATATGGGATGCAGGCGCAACAGACTGAGGATTACCTGTTGCTCCATGGTGCTGGCCCCAAAGACTTGCTTTAAAAGGATGAAATGTACAACTCCCATCTAGGCTAGACTTCTCACCTAACAGACAGCAGTTCAATGACACAGATGAAGAAGTTTTAAATATTAGTACATTGTATATATGCCCCTTTCTCCTAATAAACATGGTTTATGAAAGTTCAAAATTAAGAATCCATAGGCCTGCGCCGCGGCTCACTAGGCTAATCCTCTGCCTGTGGCGCCGGCACACCGGGTTCTAATCCCGGTCGGGGCTCCAGGTTCTGTCCTGGTTGCTCCTCTTCCAATCCAGCTCTCTGCTGTGGCCAGGGAGTGCAGTGGAGAATGGCCCAAGTGCTTGGGTCCTGCACCCGCATGGGAGACCAGGAGAAGCACCTGGCTCCTGGCTTCGGGTCAGCACGGTGCGCCGGCCGTGGCGGCCGTTGGAGGGTGAACCAACGGCAAAAGGAAGACCTTTCTCTCTGTCTCTCTCTCTCTCACTGTCCACTCTGCCTGTCAAAAAAAAAAAAAAAAAATTAAGAATCCATGCCATAAAGTTGCACTGTGCATCTGCAACACTCAGGGCCTTTTTAGTAATTTGCAGAAAAGCGTATCTGATAGCACAGTTGGCCTTACAGTGCTGTGTTCAGACTGCTCTCCCTTCCTCCAAACAAAACTCTCTCTTGCTGGGGCAAACTTTTTTTTTAACTACCAGATAGTAAATATTTTTGGCTTTATGCACCATATAGTCTGTGTGGACTATTCTAGGACACATTGAATTCTGTCCTTGTAATATGAAAACAGCCCAGGGCAACACATGAACCCTGGGCAGGGGCGAGGCTCGATTCCAATAGAGCTCTATTTACAAAGCCTGTGATGGACTGGGTTTGGCCCTCAGGCTGTATTGTCTCTGGCTGCCCTCCACCCCCACCTCCCACCCCTCAACACGTGCCCGGAGGATGATAGGCATTGATGGAAGTAGACTACTGAAGAAGCAGCCAAGTGAACTTGACCTATTTTTAGGTGAAAAGTACTAAGGCAATGCACTTTTGGGTTGAAATTCTCTCACTTCTGTTCCTAGAGCCTACAGATACACTTGGCAAGTACCCAAGGACCCATTGAGGTTTACTTGTGTTCAGAAGAGACTGAAACACACAGTCCCGTGAAAACGAACAACCAAGACCACAATGGGAATATCCCCAAACCCACTTCCAAAGGTAAAAATCCCACCTTTGTCTTCTGGAAACTGTGGAAAACAAAGGAGACAAGAAGGATCTTGTATTAGGCCACAAGTCTAGGCAAGACAGCACTCACTGTTACAAAGGTAACATTTTTTTAGAAGGCACTTGGACCGGTTGACAGAGTAAAAGTATGATCTTGGACAGATGGGTCCCCCACGGCTCCTGGAGCCCCTCCCTCCTGGCTTTTGCTTTCCATAAAAGTCATTTGCTCCCTCCCAGCGTTCAGAATCCCAGCTAAAGAGGGAGAGAAGCTGCGAACCCTCTTGGAGGTACCTCGGCCCCCAGTGGGCCCACACACGTTCGAGTGACACCACAGAGAAGCTGAGATGGAAAGGAGAAGCCATCTGGGGAGAATTTTTGTTTTTCCTCCCAATGTGAGCAGGAGAGGGATGGCGGGAAACCCCCCAGAAAATCAAATCCATCTCTGCTTCCCCCTGCCCCAGTGCAAATGCAGCTCTGTGCAGTGGGTTATCTTTTATTGTTTGATTTTGGTTTTTTCAGTTTCCATTTGGGGATATGTGTTAAAATTTTTCCCTATTCTCTCTCAAGACAGCAGCAAAAATAGGAATGATTTAAGTGAATAGTTCTGATTTAATATCGAACTGAAATACAGCGCCTGAATTGATAAAAACGAAAGGCCATCTTTGCTCACCACAGAAATTCAAAGTAGATCCTCTGTGTATTTTTAGAGGTATCTTTAATAACCTGGTGCTTAAGAAAGACTAAATTAAAACTGGTGCCTTTCTCCTAGGCCACCTCTTCTACATGTTCAAATACATGTAGACATCCGTATTGTGACACAGAGCCACATAGCAAGGACTGCTCTGTGCACCTGCTAGCCACTCCTCTCAGGAGACACCTGACAGCAGGTGTTTTTTAAGAGATAAATGGATTGAGAAAAGGGACTGGTCACTGTTGAGTGCCCCTTGGCATCACCGTGACCTGTAGTGATGCCGTCTCCCTGTCCTTGCCGGAAGGGTTGTGTGCTTTTACAACAGCCTCGCGGACATCCTTCCAGAAAAGTCCGTCTGCTTGTCTCCTAACTTGCTTTGTTTTGTTTCCACCGATGCTTTCCTTTCAGACTTGGCTTCAACCAACTCAGGACATAGCGACTGCTCCATTTCTATGGCGAACCTTTCTCCTCTGGCCTCCCCAGCCAACCTCTTACAGCAGACTGAGGACCAAATCCCTTCCAACCTGGAAGGGCCCTTCGTGAACTTGCTGCCGCCCCTGCTGCAGGAGGACTACCTGCTGAGCCTCGGGGAGGACGAGGGCATCAGCGACCTCTTCGACGCTTACGATTTGGAGAAGCTCCCGCTGGTGGAGGATTTTATGTGTAGTTGATTGTGTTCCGTGTGGATTCTCCTTACAAACCGCTATTTTTTTATCACGGACCCAGAACATCTGTCATGCAGTGTTGTCCCCTCCTACCTTTCTCCTCCAAGAGAGTATCATGAAGTAAACTACAAACTTCAGAACAAAGCTGACGTTTTGATGAAAAAAAATTTTTTTTTAAATTGTCTAAACGCACAGTTGCAGGCTCCCCTGGGAAAGCTCTGCCTTGCCCCAGGCTCCAAAAATCTCCTGGATGAGTCAGCAAGTGAGAAAATGTGCAATCAGGTGTCTCTCACCCGTCCCCTCCCTCCCGCCTCCGTGCCCTCACCCGCGGACTGGCTTGCTGTGCCTGACGGATGGGCTGTGGGGTGGGCTCTGGCCACCCGGCCCACTCCAACACAGCCATCTCCCTTAACAGCATTTCAAGCCGTGCCTTCTCCGCGGAATGCATGTCTTTGGGGGCTGCTAATACAGAACGGAACTGCAGCAAAGGCAAACTTGAAGTCATGCAAAAGTATGAAATGGATTTCTTAAGCTCTTCTTAGGAGTATTTAAATTACTGTCGTAATTCAGATTAAGCTACGGACCGCGTGTCCCACTCGGAGGTCGAGGGAACCTCCACAGCCTCTCAGATGAAGAACCTGTTTCCCAGGACTCGTTGCAGATACAGAAGACTGGTAGAGTTCTGCCACTCGCAGCTGTTGTGGATTTTCCTGTCTCCATTATCCACTCCCATCCCAGCGGTGTTTGTGAGTTTCCCTTGATTTGTAGCAATTACCTACTTAGGAGTTCTTTGTGAATTGTTTTAGATGTTCTATTTTTTTTTTGGTGGTTTTTTTTTTTTTTAATTTTTTTAGTGGCCATTTAAGCATTCCTGTGGCGCCCATCACCATTTGAATTGTTTACTTTGAAGCGGTTTTTTGCAAATTCCTATTAGTGAGCAGGGCATGTAAACCCCTGGGAGGGGAGCTCGGAGCCTGCTGGCACGGCTGGTTCCTGGGGAGGGAAGACAAGGGCAGATGGGCACGCAGTCCCCAGGAGCAGCAAGGCCTGAACCCCCTCCATCCTCGGGCTGCCCGGGCCCCGGTGGCCGGGGAAAGGGCTCTCTTAACGCCACACTCAGGGAGACACTTCTCAGGTTGGGGTCAGATGGAGAGGCCTCCAGGGAGAAACTGTCCCCATGTGTGCGTGGCATTCTACCAGCGGCACCTCCACACGTAGCCAGTAAGGACAGGGAGCTCCCGCCACGCCGTGTCCGGCTGGAACAGCCCTGGCCGGAACCCATTACCCTTCCCCCTCTACAAAGGGGTGAGGCTGGCACCGGGGCCGTCCAGAGAGGTAGAAGGAGAAGGGACAGGATGCCAGGGCATTTCCCACTTTACTCTTCAGGGATGGTGTCCCAAGCCGAGGCCTCGTGTCAGCTGTACGTCCTACCAGTCACGCCCAAGAATGGCACGCCCATTGGCAGGTGGCGATGGCCATCCCCCCCTGGGAATGTGGCACAGTTACCTCAAACCCATTCCTTGGGTGCTAAGGGCTGCGGGATGGGGGAGTTGAATGGAAATGCCGTGTGCCTGGCCCAGGGCTGGGGCGGCGACACGGCACCCAATAGCACTTGACTCAGCTGTGTTTGATCGATTGCAGATAGCCCTTAGGGAAACTAGAAAACCAAGAAAGCCACAAGAGCCCCCGGCCAGTTTACTCTAGGTGGATTTCCACAATATGCAAAGTGGTGGTGGCGTCGGGACAGATGACACCAGCACTTTAAACTCTGTGTGTGGGTGTGCGTGGGTGTGTGTTTGGGAAGAAAATAATAAAGGTGCAGACGATCTTCCTGTGTCTCTTCCTCAGCCTCCGTCCCCAGCCTCCTCCCCTCACACACCCTGGACTTGGTACAGAATATCCGTGTGGTCCGAGATGAAGCATGGGGTGGAGGAGGGAGGGGAGCTTTGTGTTAAGTGCCTACTGGAAATGCACTGTGGGGTTTTTTCCTGTATGGGAAACCATTTCTGCCAAGCTTTTCCCCGTGTCCCATATTTATCTCATCTGGTTAGCTGCCTCGGCTTCCAGCTTTGTGTGATTTCTCTTTGCCAGCTGCACAAAGCGGATTTTATTTTTTTTTCCCAAAGTCTAAAGACTGAGCTCACCTGGCAAGGTTGTCGTGTGTTTGGTTGAATTTCTCGTTGAGCCTTTGCGTGATGTTAACGCCGTATTTATTGTTTTAAAGATGAAAGGAATACTAATAATAAGTCTTAAAAGTTCCTCCATTCATAACATTTTTCCAGTTAATGGGCTTAACTGGTAGATATTAATTAGACACCCATACTGTATTCAGTTTTCCATTAGTCATGTTCTTTTTGACATAGTATCTGGCACACAAAGTGGGTTAGTACTACAGTATTTGTGTTACTTTAAGTACTAAGTATGCAGGTTTCCTGGTACCATTGAGTTGCTGCTATTAAAGCTCACACATGAAATGGCTAAAAGTTACAAGTGTGCGAATTATGACTGCGTGAGCCTTAGTAAAGAAAACGTCTCAAGGGCGACACGTGAGCTGTCAAACAGTGTTAGGTGTGTGTTTATCTGTACAGAGTTGTGTATAGCTCTTGTCTTATTTAAGTTGATATGTAGTCTACTCACGCGTTCTTTCTTTACCGATTTTGTACAAAAATAGCAATTGATTTGTAAACACTGCCAGAATATTTTCTAGCTGGTTTGTAATTTTTTAAGAGTGTTACTTTGTTATTGTTTTGTTGTTGTTATTATTGTTGTTGTGGTTCTCGTTTTCGTTTTTGTTGTACGTGTAGATCTGTAAATAAAATTGCAGTATTTAAAGCTTTAGCTTTCAGGAAAAAGAAAGTAAGAACTCAGTGTGTGCATGACAACGTGTGGATATGAGAAGAGGGATTTGAGGACAGACGGCTTGTGGAGTACGTCGGGTGGCAACTGTCAGGGTGTTGGAATTGCTTTTCCTATGGGGTACATGATTTTGTAAAAAGGAAGTAATTCTCCCAAAACTGGGAGTAGGCAAACTACTAATCAGTTTAGCTTTGTGTTGTATGCTAGTTTAAAAAATAAAAAAAAGGAAGTATGTAATATAATGTAAAAAACAAACAAAAAAAAAGCTTTTATGATGGATTTTGTAAATAGTTTGTTACAGGATGACCTGTTCTCCAGCTGTGATCTTACCACTTCCAATGGTTGTAATTTGAATAAATTTTGTATGGTAAAGGATCAATAAATGATTTTTTTAAGAGTTCAGACTTGTGGATGGATTTTCTTAGTATTGTCTTCATGTTCCTCCCTTCCTTTCATTTTTGAACATGTTCTTTAGCAAGTTAAGGAGGGAACCGTGGAGCAGAAGCTTAGCGTGGGCCTCTGGGAGCATCGGACTGCTGTTTGGTGAGCACCCGGGTGCAGTGTGCACCTGGGGAAGCAGAACTTCCTCCTGCTGAAGCCACTCAGGCATCCGTAGAGGATTTCACGCGGAGACAGGGACCTCAAGTCAAGTTTTACTCCTTCTGAGGAATATGAAACCAATAAATTTCAGTCTTCAATTCTGGTAGTGCTCTCTCATGGTCTAGAGTCTCTGTTTCTCAGAACACCACCTGGGAGCAGATTATGAATTTTTTGCCTGCCATGTCACACTTAATTCTGAGCTTCATCCAAAACTCCCAAAGTACCATATACGGTACATACACAAAAGCAATACAGAAGGCTGCGAAATATGGGTAAATTCAGGAAGCATTCTTTGGCACCCCTGTCCTATTCACCCGAGAGAGAGAGCGCACTGCCCATTTTTCTTGTTACCCTGGCAGTCTAATTGTTTTCTAGGCACGTGTAACTGTAAAACCACATGCGGTAGCCAGCGCCGCGGCTCACTAGGCTAATCCTCCACCTTGCAGCGCCAGCACACCAGGTTCTAGTCCTGGTCAGGGCACCAGATTCTGTCCCGGTTGCCCCTCTTCCAAGCCAGCTCTCTGCTGTGACCAGGGAGTGCAGTGGAGGTTGGCCCAAGTGCTTGGGCGCTGCACCCCATGGGAGACCAGGAGAAGCACCTGGCTCCTGCCTTCGGATCAGCGCGGCGGCCATTGGAGGGTGAACCAACGGCAAAGGAAGACCTTTCTCTCTGTCTCTCTCTCTCTCCCTGTCCACTCTGCCTGTAAAACACACACACACACACACACACACACACACACATGCGGCATGGGCATGTGTCTTTTTTTTTTTTTTTTTTGGCATGTGTCTTTTGACTGGAATCGTACTGTATATGCTGACCTGCAGCTTTTCCGTTTTACTAAGTGTACTTCTGACGTCTTTCCACTCTAAGACTTCCAGACCATCATCACACTTCCAGAGCTGCATAGCACTCCAGGGATTAAACATTTACTTAATCCTTTACTTACTCCCAATAATTTCCTGTTTGGGAGATATTTGTGTTTGCCTTCCCATAAAAGCTAACACAGGAGGTTTACAGAATGCTTAATAATATGCCAGGTACTTTTTTTTTAATTGATGTAATACAATGAATGAATGACATGTGGTACATTCACAGTATTGTGCAGACAGCACTTGGGTTTCTACATTTTTCCCCACCACTGAAGGAAAACTTGTGCCCCTGCTTTCTGTCCCCATGAATTTGCCTGTTCTGGATATTTCTAGATGTGGAATCATACCATATGTGGTCTGTTGTGTTTGGCTTCTTTCACATCACATATTTTTAAGGTGCATCTGTGTTGCAGCATGTGTCACTACCTCATTCCTTTGTATGTCCCACTAGTATGTCATTGTATGAATGTGTACCATGTTTTGTTCATCCATTTGGCAGCTGATGAACATTCGGGCTCCCAGCTATTGGAATTTCAGGCACTACTTTAAGTGTTTGACATGAGTGCTCTGTGTTTTTTTCCATGCTTGCTTTATGACCTCATGTATCTATTATCTCTCTCCCCCTCTAGAATGTATGTTCAGTGAGGAGAGGCACTTTGTAGTGTTTACTGTTGTGTCCTCGGTTCCTAGAATAAATAGTATCTGGCACATAAATAGGCACCAACTAAATATTTGAGTGAAATATTCCTTATTTTACAGGTGAGTAGTCTGAGGTTTAAAAATATATATTTAGAAATAAAGAATGCCCAAAAGCAACACCCTGTGATGTGGTGAGCTGGGGTTTTCCTTGTCTTGTACTTGACTTTGTTTATTTGATTGATTGATTGTTTTACATGTTTGCATTGCCTCTTTAGTTCTGTGTCAATTTCCTGTTCACCCAGGGTTTGAGAGCCTGATTCTCGTCATCTCTCATAGCTGCTGTCCTAGCCAGGGGCATGCATATTTGGCCAGCAGATGGTCAAGCTTATAATCAAGCCAGTAATGAAAGCTGAACAAAAGAGCACAAAGACATGTGCCTTCTTGCAGGCAAGTCTACTGATGGGGGTTTGGGAGGGGATGGAGAGGGTTGGCAGTTGAGAAATGCACGCAAGATGAATTTGAATCAGTTACATAGGGCTGTATCCTTTAAAAGGTGACCTATGGATCAAGTTGTGTAAATATTTCATAATCCAGAACCTTACTGAAGTATTTAGGAATGGGCTATACACTGAGAAATGTTTAGAAATCCATCTCAGAAATACTAGATAGAGAGAAAATAAAATTATTGCAGAAAAGGTCATGGTATTCGCTCATCGAGTAGCCATGAAGTTAAACAGTGGTTCCTTTAGTCAGTTGTTCAGTCATTCTTTGAATGAACATAAAGTGATTACTACAAGAGGACTTCAAAAGTTCATGGAAAATGGTTAATTTTTATGCATTTCATAAAATATTAGAAAGGCAAAGTGATGGATCTTCCTTCTGCTGGTTCACTCCACAAATGCCCTCAACAGCCAGGGCAGCGCCAGGGTGAAGCCAGGAGCTTGGAACTCCATCCAGGTCTCCCACGTGGGTGACAGGGACCCAAGTACTTGAGCCATCTGCTGCTTTCCCAGGATGTGCATTATTAGGAAGCTACATCAGAACTTGAACCAGGCACTCCAAAGTAGGATGTGTGGGTTCCAAGCCATGAGAACCACTGGGTATTCAAATGCCTATGCCAGTGGGAAAATCTTGCAACAATATATACGAGAAGTCTTTAGAACATTCATAGAAAATGAACATTCTGGAAAAACTGCATTGATTTCAATTTTTTGCACCAAAATAGATTTAACTTTTCCTTCCATTTTCCCATGACCTATTTGCAGTCTCCTCAAATATGGCAGACACTGTTCTAGACGATGGTTTTCACAGTTTAAAAAGCATACTTTCCATCAATGAGAGGAGATATACAGTCTCATGAAGGAGAAACACGGTTTAGCCAGGGGAATCAAATATGGAGGGCAGATCTTGAATAAGCCATTTTTCTTTCTGAAGCTGTTTTTGGAAGACATGGAAGGACAGATGGTTCTAGGCCAAGAGGGGAGAGGGAGAGAAGATGTGGCCTTGCTTTGGAGAGCTTCACAAAGCAGCAGAGATTCTGTTCTCGGGTGATTTGGGGTGGTGCCCAGGCCTCCTGAATGCAAGAGTGCTTGAAGACAAGACTACCTGGGCAAGCACGACTCAGATTCACTAGTGAGTCCATTTCTGCAGAGTTCTCCTTTAGATCTAGACTGTAACCCTGATGTGAAGAGCCATGACAAGATAGAACTGTTAGAACAGGACATTTGATGCAGCAATCATGATGCCAACTGGGATGCCCACAGCCCAAATCAGTGCCTGCTTTGATTCTTGGCTTCTGGCTTCTTCAATTTCAATTCCAGTTTCTTCCCAATGCACATTCTGGGGAGGCAGCAGATGATGGCTCAATGAGTCCGTTCCCTGCCACCTGCATGGGAAACCCAGATTGAGTTCCAGGCTCCAGATTTTGGCCTGGCTCCATCCTGACCTTAGCAGGCAAATGAGGAGTGAACTAGGGGATTGAAGATCTTTGTCTCTCTGCCTTTCAAATGAAAAATTTTAAACTACAGGTCATACATCAGAATATGAAAGGGGATTCCTGCGTTGATGTAGAATTAGCCTGCAGTCAATCAGAAATTAAAGAAGTAAGATAACATAGCAGGAAGCTGCAGTGTTCCGTGGAATTCAAAGAGCAAGTCTTTCATCATGCCCTTCAATCTGGACCTGGAAGATGGAAAGACAATTAAAAGAATTGGTTAAAGTAGTCAACTTCCTACAACAGTAGATGTTACTATTATGCTTTCTGTGCATATGAAGAACACTCTCAAATAGTTCTGAAGGTGCTGGGATGTCTAGGGAGTGCTTTGGGAAACAGAAGAGACGGAGTTGTCCTGTGTTACCAGGCACTCGGCAACGTGAGAAACTGCAGCTTTGTTTCTACTAGGATATTTGAGGGCTTGGGCATGTTCCATGTTAACAGCGTGGATAGAGCTAGCGCCTAGGTGAATGTCGGGATGTAGCTTTCTACCGGGACTTCAGGGGCTGACTTCACACAAACGAGGAACACAGAAACACAGGAATTAAAGCCCTGGGAATTGAGATAAGCCAACAAAACAAGAACATGAATCAAGGTCAAGTTTTTCAACCCAGACAAAATCACGTCAACTGATAATGATCATGGAACTATTTGAGTTGGAAGGCACTGTGCATTCAACAAGGAGCAAGCTGTTTTCATTGTGTGACAATTCAGTTATCTATCCTTTTCTTATAAGGAAATGGTTTTCAGCTCCTACTCCAATGCTGTTTCTACTGTTTCTAAAGCCTCTTGGTTCCCTACTCAGATATGCATGTCAAAAGGCTGCCTCTGCCAGTCTTAGCCCCGGAAGCATAGCCTGGCTGTCATGGCTAATTCATCATTTGGAAGGGACATGAGTCTCTGGACCATCCCTGTCCATAATACACCAGCACTGTCATTCCTGCCACTCTTACACACCGTGTTTCATAGCTGCATGGTGGTCGTTATTCTGAGCCTACATGCACAACAATAAATCAGTGAGATGGAAACTGTTAGGAAGCCTAAGTTTGGAGGATTTCTCAGTGTTTCTCTGTCCTTAATATAGTATTTGATGAAAATGGGTTTGCTTTATTTAAATACAGGAAGAATTGACTTGGCAACAGTTTCTAAAAAGGATGTTGCATTTCCTCCAAGAAGGAGTGCTCTTCCTGTGTAGACCATTTTCAGCTCAGAAAGTCCCTAAGCCAGTTTCTCTGTGTAATCAAAGTCAGGGCATTTGCCATGGCTGAAGCTTGAATGATACTCTATATCTCATCCCTGA